AAGTGGCCTATTGCTAAGCGGCTTAAACGCCTCGTCGCTCTCGAGAGCCGAACTATTCGAAAGCGCCTTAACCTCGGACAGTTAACAAATGATTACAAACAGTACAACAAATTGTTAAAACTAAATTATCATTTTATTATTATTTAAATGCTGGCGAGCGGAAACGAGACCAGCTGCCGGGAGACACAAGCCGAATGCCAGCATTTAAGGCGGAACGCCATGGTAATAATTTAGACCCAAAAGAGCCGGGCTAACAAAAAATAAAACCAAAAAGTGAGAAAAAAAGGGAAAAATCGAGCTAAACGCTGCGCACTTTTCCACTGCAGTTTCTGCCTTTCACGGGAGTGTGTGCCAGTGTGTATGTCGCCTGGAACTACAAAAGACCGCATTGTGTGTGATTTATACACCTTAAGCTTCGATGAACGCTATTACACAAACAGCCAGCAGCGACGTTGACTGCAGCAGAGCTTTCCCAGCTGCGTTTCCCCACTTTTTTTTTTTTTAGATTTTTTTTTTCTTTTATTTGGCAAGTTGGCGCATAGCCACAGCAGACAAAGCGGCAGACGCCGACGTTTGGCGGCAATGAAGCCATAGCCATGAAATGGAAATGCATTCAAGTGTGTTTAAGCCGGTGCAGCACCCCCTCTCCTATCCCTTTGCTCAGACTCTGGCATTGAGTTAAACTCCCACTCCTTTTGCCTTGTGCCACGGCCAAATACGTATGCGACTACAGATAAGACGTGCTCGATAGAGTCCACAGAAAAAATGAACTCATTTTACGCCTGCATCTTTGTGACTGTCCCCCGAAGCCCCCATCCCACCTGCAGTTCGTCTCTGATTTGAGACACTCGAAGAAAAAAGTCAAGTGTTCTATTCATTTCTTTAAATTGAAACGAATCTTGGGTAATTAATTAAGGGAGCACCTTGTGCTGCACTTTTGTTTGTACAGATAATTACAGGTTCTTAGCAAGTCTTGCTGTTTTTGTGAAGCTATAAGAGTACACTGAAATAAACTGTGGAAAATCTAGGACATATCTTAATAAATTTCCTCAAGGATAAACGTTTCTTGTAATGTTAATTATTTTTAAATTGGTTCAATGGTTTTCTTATAATGACTTAAGCCAAAATAAATCTTTCAAGTAATTTGTTATTTCGTTTAGCTTGTTATCCCTCAAGGTTTCTTGAAGTTTGGTTAAAGGAAATTTGATTAATGTTGATTCAATAAATTGTGATTTAAATGACGTACAATTTTTCATTATTCAAGAATGCTAACTAGATTTCCCGAATTTTCCCTCGGTGCTGGTATGAGTGTGTGTGATTGTGTGTTAGCCGGTTGACGTTAACAAGCACAAGCGTACGACGGAATTGAAAAAAACTGTAGGAAGAAGTTTATCAAGTCAATTGAGACCTGCGACAAAAGACCAAGCACGGCGACAGCAACAACAGTTGCTCGTAAGCGGCAGCAGCAGCATCATCATCAGCAGCAGCAGCAGCAGCAAGCAGGGCGACAGCTTTTGGTTGCAACGTCTGAATCTGAATCATCATCAGCGTTTGGCAGCATTGTCGTATGGATGCCGGCGTTTCCAGTTGGAGGAGGAGGAGTAGTTAGGAATGGGTAGTATCTTTATCTGAAGACCCGCAGCAGTGGAGCGACAATGGCATCATCCGAACGACAGGGAGCATGGCATAGTCTTAGGACGGTGGACAAAGGCGAGAGACAGTAATATCGGAGAGGAATCTAATTTGCATGCAATACGATTTTTGATAAAAGCTTTTACCCCAACATCAAATAAAACGACAATGCAACAGCACACTTTGGAGTGCAGTCTGCAGATGTGTCCCTGTCTCCGTCTAAGTCTTCGGCTCCGTGTCCGGGTCCATGTCCGTGCTCCATTCACTCGACTCGACTATTCATAAGAATAACAGCCAGCGCCAGATAAGAAAAGCCAAAGACAGATATAGATTGAGAGCTGGTGGCTGCTCGAATAGAGGGGTGGATTGTCGCAGTTTGTGGGCCAGGAACGAGTGGAGTTCTTGAGGCAACCCGAAGGCAATCAAAAAGTGCATTTGCGTGTGCCGTTTGCAGTCGCCTCGAGCACAGCATGCCGAGCATGTGCATCTGCATGCGAAAGTATTCGGATGCAGGTAACTAGTTGCGACTCCCAGTGAGTGCCATGAACTGCAAGTCACAATTTGACACATGATCCATGGCATTGTCGTGTCTGACACGCGTTTTATCTCCGCTCCGGGAATCTCTTAGGTGGAGGAGGCGGTGGCGGTGGTGGTGGTGGTGGCGCTGGCTGCGGCGAGGGCGTGGATGGTAGGGGCAAGCTTGGGGCTTGAGGCGTGGGCGTTGGCGTGCACATGATGTGCATGCATGCGTTTTCCTAAATGATTTCCAAAGAATTTTTATTGGAGAGAAAAAGGCGAAAGCGAAAACACAGGCAGCACCAGCGGCACTCACAAAAATTTTCTTCGATTTCCCATGATTTCGAGGAAAGAAAAATAGATTTAAATGCTTGCTTAACTTGAGAAGAAAATAGGTAAATTTTCTATCGAGAAATTCTTTGTTTAAAATGAATAAACATTTTCACAAAATTCATTTCATTTATTTTCATGAAGATATAAACATTATTGAAATAAATATTAGGAATCTGAAAGGCTTCTTTAAAGGCCTTAAAATTGATGGAATAAAACCATTAAAAAATAAAAGTATTTAAGATGAAACAAGTGTCAAAAAAACTCCTTAAAAAGAAAGGCATAAATTTTTCTTTGTCTGCAACAGCATCATGCAACAACGACAACAAGAATCAATGAAATGAGAAGCGTAGGAAAGTTTATTGGCGTCTTCAAATTGTCAACTCGAAGTTCCGAAGTGTTTTATTTTATGCTTTGTTTCTCATATTTTCCGATGCCTTTTGTTGCCCCAGCCCCGAGCCACGAGCCCCAACCCTTTGCTTTATCGCACATCTGTAAAAGGGCAACGCTGGCTCTTGGTTTCAACTTAAACATACAAACATATCCGTATACAAAACATATATAAATTCGGTCTATATCTTATTGGAATGTGAGTGCGGCTATGGGCAATGGTTATGGGGCCATTGGGCTGGATCTGAAGTTGAAGTTAAAGTCTATGGCGATGGCGATGGCTTTTTATTATGCGCATTTCGGGTTTTATGCTTCGGTTCCGGCATGTTTTCGTACACATATCTAAATATCGTACTTAAACGTTTACACATGTGAACGATATGAGATGCGGGGGTGAATCCAAGATCCGAAGCAGACGAGCACCCGGGCGGACAGGCAGCCGGGAGGCAAATTGAAATGGGGGGCCCCATTTAGTTAGTCGAGTGTCAATATAATTTTTTGTCGGGGAAAGGGTTTTTAATGATGTGGCTGGTTTTATGGGCCATCAAATAGCTCCGTCAACACTCTGCCTTGTGTTTTGCAATGCCTTCGATAATGGTTCGATGTCCATTAAATCAATCATTATTTGTCAAACTTCATAAAAATATCCGTAGAAGGCTGGATGTCATAATAGATTAAACGGAAATCTAAAATTATTACAAAATTTACTACCAGTTCAATATGGATATAAGGGGCGATGGGTTTGAAAAGCGTTGAAGCTGAAAGTTGAGCCTTTTTCCTCAGTGTTTCCAAAGGGAATCACAAAAACCTGGAACGTCAGCATCGGGACTATTTAAAATTCAACCGAAATAAAAACTTTTCTTTATGGTCGCAATTATAATTCGATAAAACCGCAATCTCTTCAATTGCAGGCCGAGGGAGATCACATTGAAAATTCCGGGCCAAGAGCAAGGACATGACATTCGAATTTCGCAGGCAGCCAAAAACTTTAACCTGGCCAAATGATACTTTCGATGCGAATTGCGTGCACACCGCACCATCGCATGGATTCCTGTTTCTCAGATACGAGGGTATGATGGGGCAACACACAAAAACTGCCGCCAAGTTCATAACGAGCAATACTTTTTTATTGGCTTTTGCCAGAGCGCCAAGAACCCCTAAGGCAACTAAAAAATTTACATTTTTATTAAAATCTCAAAATCTCTTTTGGCTGGCAAACTAAACATATTCATACATACCCATGGTATAGTATAGTATAGTATAGTATATAGGGGGAGAAGCAAAAGCAGAGCCACACATGCAATGCCGAATATTACATGTGTATCTGTGGGCTGGATATTGAATTTAACTTTGATTTTGGCATCAGGGCCAAAATGGCAGGCCAAGTCAGGGCAGGACAGGCCAGGGCAGGAGCAGGCCGGATCTAAGCCGGGCCAAGACACCAACCGAAGGCATAAATTGATATTTATTGAACAATGGTAGTGGCGCCCCGGGGTTACTTAATTAGCCGGGTGCATTATGTGTGAAATGGAGAATGTGCCCTTGTGTAAGCTGCTTACCTGGAACAAGAGAATCCTCTTGGCTTACATGCGCCTCACCTCTCCTCATCAATCACCTCAGCCGAATATGGCTATTTTGACAGCTATATATTGGGTGCTTTTTCGGCTGGAAAGATGAATGAAGGTGGTGACTTGGGGGATATCTCATTTTCTTGCTCCTATTTCCTATTTCGTTTTTTTTTTTGGAGCCAGAGCACAGCTGGTAGAATTCATTTCCAAGTTTGCAATATATCTACATGTATATGTATAATAAATTTCCATTTGCTTTTGTTAACGTTAGCGTTTAACCCACGCAACCCGGCAGGCGCCCGGCATAAGTTCAAACTGGTACGCGCCGCCTTAAACATGTGTTTATGGATGCTATAGAGCGGGATGCTCCGCTCTGTGTGCTTTGTTTACATATTATGTACATATTTTTTGGCCTCTTGTTTTGCACGCCGTCGATAAGCGCCCAGTCACAGCCGCAGTCCCCCGCCCGCGTGGCTCCATCATGGTATTCCAGTCGCTTATCAAAAGTTGCCCAAGTCGAAGCCCAAGCTGTTTACTTGAGCAACAATCTGCTGCCAGAACCCAGACTCAAAATCAGTCCAGCCTCCACAGCTCCGAGTGGAGAGGGTCTTATGTTTTGGCGCTTAAAGCTCTTAAGAGTTTAACGCGACTTTAATATATACCCGCCATCACCATCATCCAGACGTGCATCAGAGGTGCCCTAGTGGGGTAGAGCAACTGCGGCAAAGAAACTGTTTCCCAAATACGAATTTTAAATTCACAATGGGTCGTGCAACGCGATTGATTCCGTTCGGTCTCGTCATTCCGATGCTTCTGTTTGTGCCACTTCAGCTTCTGCCACGGCCAACATTCGGCCACACACGTAAGCTATTGATTATGGATATGTGGAAGCACAGGGAGAAACTAATCCATCCATTGCAATATATATTTTTTTTGTATAGAGAAAGATCTAAGGTGATAAAAAAAAACCTTTTGCTTCAAAATAATTTTTTAAATGACTTTAAAAAAAAACTAGAAACTTAATCTGTTATTATTTTCCATTTCGTATTTTTAATTAATTAAATAATAAATTTTTTCTCTGTACATTTTGTTTATCCTGCCTGTCTGAAGTGGGTCCCAGTTGTCAGACGCCCGAGAAGACGGAGGGTCGGTGTGTGCACTTCAGCGTCTGCCGCTACGTCCTGCGCCAATACGCGATGTACAAGGAGCACATGCCCCCAGCAATAATGCGATTCCTGCAGCGATCCAGATGCAGGCCCAAAAGGGAAGGCGTAAGTTGTGCTGGGCCCAATAAAACTGTCTGGCAAGAACAATAACCAACGAATGGCTCTGATTCTAATGAAATTTCGCTTTCTGTTTCTTTGGCTGCTACATACGGAATGCTGAATTGTGGATGGGAATTATACGGCCTTTCTCCCCTGGCAACACCAACTTCTACCTCAACATTAATATCAACATCAACAAAGTATCATTTGTGCTGCGAACTCAAAGATGTAATTCCCGCGAACGCCAACTCAAAGTTAAAGTAAATCAACTTCAAAGTACGTCATGTGTGGCACAAACAGGCCGGAATGTATAATGTGTAATGTGGGCTTTGATCTGCCAAATCAGTTGGTAGCTTTGTTTGGGCCCATAACCGAAATGTTATGGCTGGGTCGCCACATCGCCAGTAATTATAATGTGTACACGAATTATGTATTAAGTGCGCCTCATGTCTCCTGTCTCGCCGGGCAACAGATGCCGGGACATAATAAAAATAAAAAGTTTAGCCTTATTTTTAGCATCTTTATGAAGCTTCAAGAGCTTCAATTATTCTTCTTGTAATTTTAGTGTCAAAATATGCAGATATTTAATTTTCCATTTTTGTCCAGTATTTTTAGTAGCTGCATAGGAGTAAAGACCTATAATGTTTACTACCACATATGTGGTAAATTTTATTTGAATATTTGGATGTCATTTTCAACAGAAGTATATACATTTCAAAAGGTAAAATTTTGTTGTTTCAATACATGAGTTTTCCTCATTTATTTTGTCCCTTTGTGTTGCCTCAAACAAGGGTTTCCATTACACAAAACAGGAACGAAGTTGCCTCTTATTTAATTTTGATTTATGCTCGTATCTGGTGTTGAAACTCCCCTCCATTCCGTTTGCCTCCTGTTGTGTGCTTTAACGTGCCAGATTTTAAGTGACACTCGGGAGACGCTAAAAGGCCGTCTAAAAATCACGCAACATTAAAATGATTTATGCTGAATAATTTCAGTGTAAATGAAGCAGACTTGGGGCTGACCAACAGCAGCCGGTTAGTGGTTACTCTGGAGGCTGCAGCATGGATGGATGGTTGGTTGGTTGGTTGGCTTGATGTTGGGCTGGGAGGGCCTGGCTGAATGGCTGGAGGACCATGAGCCAAAGGAGCTGAAAGCGAGTTTCAGCCTGGGCTGGGGCGTTGAAATTCAGACACCTTGTGCGCGCACGCTGCTCGAATTTCAAACTCCAAACGGCTGCAAGCTGGAATACTGGAGGCTGGAGGCCGGAGACTGCAGCTTAGCTGCTGCTTTTGCTGCTGCAACATCGCTGAAATTGCAGACAGCGGGCCAGACCAGATGATAAATGGCTCGAAAACACATTTGAGCTGCAGCTAGCCTCCGCTCTGGTCCTCTGATGCTGATCTATTAGACAAACGCACGCCCAAGGCGTCTGCTCGCACATATTCATACACATTTCTCGCCCGATGTCCGATGGCCCGGATCTCGGTTCTCGCCGCCCGCGTTGGCTATTTATGGAAAGTTTACCCTGAGATAAAGCCGAACAAGAGGCCAATTTCCATGATTATTTTTGTCGCTTTTAGACAAAAAATTTTTTAGCTGTCAGAAATTAAATGGAAAGCAGCTTCTTAGGCGCTGCCATGATGAAAAGTTGTCGGGCAGCAAGCAAACATGTTTAGGCTAATGCAGCTGCAGCTTGGAGGCTTAAATGGTTACACCATAAGAAATTAGATGAAATAATATAGAGATTTTACATTATGTTGGAACTTACAGTTCTAAAATTAACTTGCCAGAGAATAAAAGTTTTTCAATTAAAACCTTGGAAATACCACTTGGACTATAACCTTTTAAAGTACAAGGCCTTAAGCCTGTTAAATAAATTCAAAAACTTAGTTATTTCGGTGTAGTCTTGCGACTTGGGTCTCTGTTTGCTTTGGGTTTGTTGCAGCTCATGTTGTTGCGGTGCAGCAAATGTTGTTAACAAGCATATTTTGACAGCTCAACAAGATGTTGCCAGATGCGCGAACAGCAACAAGCAACAAGAGCAGCAGCAACAGCAGCAACAATGAGGCCATCTGCATGCGTTTTAGTCTCTATAAAGGCGAACCATACTAAGACAAAACCATGGACTATATGGGGGTGACTATGGGAAAGTTGTGGCTTTCCATATGCCTCGGCAATTGAAGTTACTGAGGCGCAGAGAGTCCATTGCTGTTGCATATGCTGCAGCAGTGTCTGCTGCTGATGCTGAAGAGCATAAAATGCGAAACATATTGTTCTAGTAGAAAGAAGTCGTGCTTTTAAAAACTATTTAGTGTGCGCATTTTAATAAACATTGCAGCACATTTAATGAAATTCAGAGCGAGACGAAAGGATGTCCACAGAAGGAGGAATACATGTAGGATTGCATGTGGCGTTTATACAAAGGCAATGCGGTCGTATCTCTGCTCCTGGCCACATCTATTTGCTAATTGCATTTCGTTGTTGTTGCTCCAGTGTTTGTTGTTCTGCGACCGCATACCTTTCACGCGCACTGTTCCGGTTTCTGTTTCATTTTCAGCACCAGCCGCCTCCCCATTCCATCCCCCCATTTCACCTGTCACCTTAGTTAAATATCGCTTTGTTGCTGTCGTGGCTGACACATCTGAATGTCTTGTCCTTGTCCTCATCGCATCCCATCGCATCGCATCGCATAGCATTTCATTTCATTTCATTGCCGTGCGGAGTTGCAGTCAGTTCGCTTCGCGGCTTGTCTATCACGCGGCCAAAGAAAATGCAATTAACGAGCGCCATCAAAACGGCCAAAACGAAGCCTGCGAAATGAAAGGCGAGCAAACAAATGGCTGCCAGAGTGGCAAATTGCTTTACATATTTACACGCCAAATGAGAGTGGTTAGGTGGAAAGTTTTTGATGCCACAAGACCGTAGACTTCAAATATGGAGCGAATCACTTTTCAAAAGCTATAATTAGTTTCGATTTTTCAATATTATTAATTATGGGATGGGAAAACAGGAAAAGTTAGTGAATACTTTAGCTTGCATTTGCTGAAAAGCCAAGCTCGTTGAAAGATTTCAATTTCTGCACTTATATCGTTTGGAAAATTCGATTTCCGTTTGAAAAGATCAATTTTGGGTTCCCATACTGTCTCCCCAATGTTGCAGCTTCGCTTTCAGCCATTCCGTTTGGGCCATTAGGAGCGCCCTTTTGGCCAAGCTTTTCCTGCTAATTTGTTCCGTATTCATAGAATGCCATTGACTGTAAATTGCTGAAAACTGCAGCTTAATGATCTCTGGGTTGACATGCAGAAATTGCCATGGACAAAAAGTGGTGCTGCCAATCAGGGCACACCCACCAACCACCACCCGATGAAGACCAAGCAAAAAACCCCAGTGGGGAAGAAAGCAAAGCCGAATTGCAAGCAACCGCAAATTCAATAAATTTGAAAAGCAATTAATAACTGATTGACAAGTATTTATCTGGAAGAAATGGGTAGAAAAAACGAAAAATAGAGCGGAAGCTGCTGCAGTGGCATGGATGCAAAGTGTATTGGCTTGTATTTTCCAAGGGGGGGAGGGATGGGGCGGTGGACAAGGAACCGAAACCGAAACCGGGCAAATAAGCGTAATACGTTGGCCAAACATCGAATCAGAAGCAGAAAAGCTGAAACAGAAGCCGAAACTGAAAGGATGGGTGCGGTGCTGAGGGGAAATGAACTCGTGGGAGATGGCGGAAATTCAAAACCCAAAGTCAAATGGAACACAGCAATATAACGCAACGAATTGACGGAGACGAGATAAAAGAACAATCAACAATACGCCAGCAACAATACCAACAGCAACACCAACACCATAACCATCACAAGGAAAGAGCAGAGTGAAGAGTCCAACGGGCCAGAAGATGTAGCATAAAATGTAGCGAAAACTTTGGAAAAATCATTAATAATGCTCGGCCAGCGCAATGGCATTGGTTTTCCGAAAGGACAAGCGCAAGGACATGCAGCGAACGGGAGGCTATCCCCATCTCCAGCTTCCCAGCTCGTAGCTCTCCGTCAATCAAAGCGCAAACAGAAACAAAATGAATGGCAAACAGCGGCGACTCGGACGCTCAACGATGACCAAGTGGCGATAATGCACTGAAATAAAAGTTTTGGCAGTCTAGGTTCTGGGGAAGACTCTGAAGTTGAGTATATCCATAGAACGTATACTTAATATTTCTTGATTTTTTTTGTAGATAATTAAATTATCTCTGAAGGTATAGTATTTTCCATTCAAGTTTTCTTTCAGGTGTACTAGGGGACATAGAGCGGACGTCCATTGAAAAGGGGTCAGTAGTCAGGCGGGCTAAGCGACTGTTTAGCTGCTTGTTTTGTTGCGGTCGGACGGCCACGGCAGGCAGGCAGGACTAGCCAGCCAGCCTGGCTGAAACAGGACATTCTGGCCGAGATGGTGGTGATGACCAGTAAGACGATGATGATGATGATGATGATGTGGGCAGCGAGCAATGGCCGACTGTTCGGCGAATGAGCAACGTGCCCGTCGACAACTGGGACGACAATGAAGGCGACTATAACCCAATGATGAAGATCAGCTACGGTGACGATAATAATGACTACGAGGACGAGGATGATGATGATGATGATGAGGATGAGACATTGAGCGAGCGATGTGGAACGGATGTGCAGTTGTTGTGGTCGCAGTGGGCCAAGCCAGCCATACAGCCATCTAGCCAGCAAGCAGAGCAGCGGGAAAGAAAGCACAATTATTCATTTGCACAATGTCACAAAAGTGTCAGGCAATGGCGATGGCGATGGCTGTGGAGAAGAAGAATGGGAAGGAGCAAAGGATTTCTTGGCCGGAGGCTAGCCTGGCTTTGAGACAAAAGCGAAAAGCGAAGAGCGGAGCGATAATGACGAGCCCCGACACTTGGTCCAAGCGAGTTGCACAGCCATAAAGGATAAGGCGTATCGGAAGCAAGATGGATAACCCCAGACCGTTGGCCTTTTCGGTGAGTTTGCGGTGCATTCAAGTAATTAAGTGAAAGAGCGGAGCGGGGGAGGGGTGGACAGCAAGGAGCAAAGGGATTGAAGTTTGGTAACTAGTTAGAAACGAGAATTCAGGATGCCCAGGCTAGTAGTTTCCCTAGTAGCCGAAAGTGCATTAAAATTAATGCATTAGCAAGTGCAACATTGTTATCAGCCTGCACACATGAGCACACACTCACTGGCGAATAACGCCTCACGTGGCCACACACGAGGGAAATGGTACGGACTACAGACTACGTACCACGTCCTACCAATATATGTATATACCAACCATACATATGTACATATATGAACTGAAATCGCAGCCCAAACCGTACAATAGCAACCCACTACCGTCCCACCCACCACCTCCCAGTTGCCAGTTACTGCATGTATGCATGCCCATATAACACTCACATATTACTTGTAGTAATTTCTCACGGAAATTCATAACCTTCCGCAACTATTCAGCATTTGTGTGGCATACTCTGCCGCGCTCT